CAGCAATGTCCATAGGGCAGGACATGAACAGCCTAGGGCCTGGTGACAGAAAAAGCAAACAGTTCTACTGTACTTAACAATTATTCTATTTAAAAAAAATGAAATCAGGGATAATAAATCATTCTGTCTTAGTTACTTGCTAATGAAACATATACATAATTCTATTGCCTACGTTAACACAGGTGCTAATGTTTATGAGATCAGGAAGTGAATATATTACCTAAAAATATCATTTAGTGGGGTTGTCCTTCAAAATGAATAGCTTTTTCAAAAGCCAGTTCGGTAATACATTTTCCCTTAGCCTCAGTGATAGAGGTCACAGGGTTCTGGCATGAATTGCATGAGAGATACATATATCACAAAGGACAATTGTAAACATACATAAATAGAATCTTCTAACATTTATTAAAGACTTGGGTTAAAATTGTTTTTAAAAGATTTCTTTTCAGAACTCCCATAGGGTATAACTTTTTTCCTCTTTTAGCATTACCTAGGTTAAAGTTTTAAAGACCATGATCTTACCAATAGTAACATCAGCTGAGCTGTGAGACTCCAAAGCTTTATTCAGATGTGCCCACACTTTAGGGATCCAGTCCACTACACGGTTAAGATCATTGTTTCTCATACCAGTTCGGATCTCAGATTCAATCAACCGGCGACGGAGAAATCTGCCCAGGAAACTTTTCACCTCCATGTGGTTGGCACACATGACAAACCTGATGGACAAGCAATGTAATAAGGGGCTAAATATCTTATCAGCTAACATGCTGCCTGCCAAGTATATAGAATGCTGGATTCTCATGGGCCTTTATAAAATTCAGAGTCCAGGTAAGTATGACAAACTTTATATTATTCCTCATTTTTAATACCTTGGTTTTCTTTTTATTCTTTGCATTTATTGGCTGTAAACTCTAACATAAAGTTTTGGTTGTTCCTCCAATTTTGGACTTTAGTCTTGTTTCAGAACATGAGTTTTGCATGTACATCCATTTTCCTGATGTGACTCATTTTAATTCAGAGTGTTGGTTCCTTGCCTCTCAGCACTCTGACTTCAAAGAAAGGCTCCCAATTAGTTGACTGTTACGACATGCTTTTGGGAAGGCAGTGGGTCTATTCTTGTTTTCCCTTAAATGGGTACCAGGATGGGCTGTCCTGGGAAAGTAAAGACAGCCGGCGTAATGTTGACCACATTACCCACAGAGTGCTGATGGTCTGTAAAAATATGGGACGCTCTGCCCGATGCGCGGAAAGGCGTGAAAGGGATCTTTACTTTACTTACTTAGTCACTTCAGTTGGTTCATTCTTGTGTGTGTTGAATTGTGTTTCTCGTTACTACTATCTTGCTGTTGAAGGCTAATCACCACACCATCCTTTATTTACTTTTTATTTTTTTAAAGGCTCTAATGTAGAATATCAACATTTTTTTAACCTTGATAAGCGCTAGTGATTTATCTGTTACATGAAAATATTGTAACCTGCACAGTTTGTGGCAACTACATTATACCCTATAAGCCTTAAATCTTCAGGCTCACACACACTCCCACACCCGCTCCCCATTCTTACCCTGATAAAAGTGTTAAATGCAGGAAATAAAGACTATTTTTTCAACCTGGCTGACTGGTATGGGTGATCATGTCTTTCCACATCTTGTGATCACTAGCATCAGGCATCCATTTGTGTGCAGCCACTTCTCTTTTATAATAAAATGCAGTAAAATCTCATTAACATGAACTCACTTAAGAAGAACACATGGTTAACAAGAACTAACATATGCGCACGTGCGCTCACACGCACACACATTTGCAAGCATGCACGCACACATGTGCACACACACACACACAATACATTCAATGTACTCATACACACATATATTCATGTAAAGTCACATACACACATACATATTAACATGGGCATGTACATGCACACACACACACACACACACACACACACGCACACACACATACATATGAAATAACATATTTTTCACACAAAATGCTAACCTGAAATTATGGTGCAGCTGTAGATTTGTTGTGGAAGATGATGACTGACTTATTGTTCCTATCATATAAGGGCTGAAAATACATTTACCGCGTAAACATATATCTACATATGTCATGGTATGTTATTCTATTAAATTTCACTGTACACCAGGCATTCCCATGCAGGCTGTATCTTCCAATGCAGCAGCCACTCCAAAGTACTTGTATTGATTGTTCCCATGTGAAATTGATTACAATTTCTCATATCTCGGCCTTTTAGGTGTCACAGTCATGCTTCACAAAGTTTCATTCCCATGTCAGGCAATTGTGTTAGAAATTTGAGATATTTGCTCTGTCATGCTTCTTCCCACATGCACTAGTACATTCTATCTATTGTCTTCTTCACTTTTACCGGGTTGCAGCCCAGTGTCGTGGTTTAAAATATTTGTTTTGTGCCTCTCGCGTGATTTAAGTGACAGTTTTCTGGATCTTCTGGCCGTATTCAGCTACTCCATCTATCCATTTTTTCCTGGGTTTTCCTCTGGCCTTTCTTCCCGATGTTCTACTGTAAAAGGCCTTATAGGCAATCTGATCCAGTTGCATTCTTACTAAATGGCCAAACCACTTCATTCTCTGTCTTTCAATATGTTTCATGCATGCTCTTGTTCCAACTTTTTCTCTAATGCTGACGTTTGTGACTCTGTCTCTTCGTGTATTGTTGGTGACTCTTCGGAGACATCACATTTCACACTTAGTTATTTTTTGCATATGTGATTTGTTCATTGTCCACGTTTGGCACTGATAACATAACGTAGGGATGAAAATGCTGTTGATCATCCGTTGTTTGGCTGGTAACGAGATCTTTGGATGACGAAGAAGTGGGGCCAGTTGGTAGTTGACTGCATTAGCTTTTTGAACTCTAGCCTGTATCTCTTTATTGAGTCTTCCATCTTCTGTAAATATGCATCCTAAGTACTTGAATTCTTGAACTTGTTCTAATTGTATGTCATTGATCTTTATGTTTACATTACTGTGTTTCTTTCCTATGGTCATTACTTCGGTTTTTGAGGTGTTTATTTTCATGTCAAATTTTGTACAGTTAATGAGCAATGAATCAACATGTTGTTGTACTTTTTGTTCTTCTTCTTGTAACAAACATTGGTCATCTGCAAAGAGTAGTTCATTTATAATATCTGTGTTTTGGTTTGACTCCTGTGCAATTTTATCCATATGTGTGATGAAGAGTAGGGGTGATAGGACACATACTTGTCGTACTCCTGATGTAATGGGGAACCAGTCTGTCATACCTTCCGTTGTTCTTACAGCGCTCTGGCTATTTGATAGAGAGCCATTATGTTTCCCAATAAATGACCCGGTACACCATATTCTTCAAGAATGTTCCATAGTTTATTTCTGTTAACCCTGTCAAAAGCCTTTCTCTTGATCAATGAATATAAGATTCTGGTGTTTATTATATTCGATTGTCTGTTCACAAATTTGCCGAAGAGTAAATATTGCATCAGTGCAGCTCTTTCCTTTTCTAAATCCAAACTGATTGTTACTTAATTAAGGTTCTAATATCACCCTCGCTCTTCGTTCTAATATTTTTGCAAACATCTTTCCTACATGGCTTTGTAAAGAGATACCTCTGTATGTTTCACAATCTTGTTTATCACCTTTCTTCTTCCATATGGGAACTATAATTGCTCTCTGCCAGTCAACGGGAACTTTCATTTCCTCCCAGGCCATGTTTAATACTCTTGTCAGCCATTTTATTGATGTTGACTTACATGCAAGTATTATGTCTGTGATATATGACTGGTACATTGCTTGCCATATATCTACACATAAATTAAATTGATGTATTCCATCTATGGAAACAACATAGACTTGTGGCTAGACACTTGGATACCATCCTAAAGATCTTGGGTTCATATCCCAGTTAATTCATATTGTTTTGAAATTTAATCTTGCCTCGACCCAGCCTAAAAGCTGGATACCATGTAATGTCCTGGGAAGTAAAGGCAGGAAGAAAACACTAAATACTAATTAGTCTGTAAAAATATCTGGCATCCTATGTCTGATCCATCACTGGCATCAAAAGCACTCTTTTCTATTATTTTTTTTCTTTACTAATCCATTTATATACAATGAGGTCACATTGTTGATTAAGGTATAGATAGAGAACATATGTGTCTGCTTAACAGAAGAGCTGGAGATGTGATAGTTTATACAGCAGTAATTAAACAAAATATCATGTTCAACCCATCTGGGTGATAACTGCGATATATAGTTTTTTTATTTTTAATATCTGGACTGGATTACTGGAGACTTCCTCATGTTCACAGGCTGTAGTAAAGTAAAGGGCCCTGTTCCACACCTTTAGGCGCATAGGGCATATAGGGCTAGACCTATATTTTTATAAACCAAAATATCATGTTCAACCCATCTGGGTGATAACTGCGATATATAGATTTTTTTCTTTTTTATATCTGGACTGGATTACTGGAGACTTCCTCATGTTCACAGGCTGTAGTAAAGGTAAAGTAAAGGGCCCTGTTCCACACATTTAGGCATATAGGGCATATAGGGCTAGACCTATATTTTTATAGAGCAAAAGGCAAAAAATGGGTTATGTGGTCAGCATCATGCCGGCTGGCTCTACTTCCCGGGACTGCACCCGCTACCCACTCAAAGCTGGGTTGACCTGGGAGCCAAATTCATTTTTGAAAAAAGTCCAGCTTCTCCAGGGAGCGAACGCACGACCTTCCGATCCGCGGTGAGCATCTAGCCGCTCCACCACGGGGACTCCCACAGGCTGTAGGCTCTGGTAGAATGTTCTGGTTGTTCGCCCACTACTGGACTATAATCCTGTTTCAGAGCCTGCATGTTGTATGCACATACATTTTACAGATCTGACTAATTTTTGTGCAGACTTTTGGTCCCCGCTCTCCCTTCCCAATGGGCTTTGAAACCCACATGGAATTGAGAGCATACAAAAAAATATTACTGTTGACTTACCATTTCTGATATTTGGCACTCATAAAACCATTGAAGACATCTGCTAAGGAAGTTACATGATGGAGGTTGTCCAGAATTATGGCTGAAGGCAATGCATGAACGTTGGTACTCTCACACTGGTCTGCAATATTTGCCAGGTACTGTCGCAGCTCCTGGGCAGATTTGTTATCTACATTAAATGTGGCTACAGATCCAGCTGTGAGTTCTTTTCCTGACCTGGCGTGGGGGAAAAAAGGGGGAAAGAGAGAGGGGGTGGGGAAGGGGATAAAAATGTTGACAATAATTACAGGGGTAATGTAAGGAATTATTATAGAAGTCACTTGAGAGTGATTACAAAAGTCACACAAGAAAAATACAAGTTTCAATTATCAATATAAGTATTTCAATTATCATGACACTTTCTCTGTTATCAACATATAAATCTTAGGTAAAAATATATTGGTTACCAACAGTGTTATCTGAGTAACAAGCATACATGGCCCAGTTTACCAACATACATGACAATTAAATTCAAGACAGATCTCACATATAAGCATTTATGATCACTTTACAACAAATACAACTCATTTATCAACATGTATTAGTTTTCAGCATAGAGCTGTGACGTATCAACACATGTCTTTGTTGTCATCATACATGACCCAGTTATTAAAATTCAAATCTGTTTTAAAATTAATGTCTATTGTTATCACTATTCAAATACTATGTATCACTTCTAACCTGAGTACAACATGTTCAGCCAGTTTCTGAGCCAGGTATGTCTTTCCTGTCCCACTGGGCCCACACAAGATGATCCTGTGATGCTCCAACAGCAAGGATATATAACGCTGGATGACTGTTTTGGGAAGCATTGTCTCAAAGGCCAGTGAATCAACACAGGACTGTTTTGTTCCTATAAAATATACAAAGAAATATGTTTATAACATTTATCATGTTAGTACTTCTGCATCTAATAGTGGGACTATGTTAGTGCAGTCCTTCTTCTTACAGCCCTTGTCATATAACATGGTTTATCCTGTCTATCTACAGCCTTTTATCTTGTGTATTGTGAATAATTCCTATTAAAGATGTTTTTCTATACCCTGCAGCCTAAATGCCCAACATGTACTAGCCTCCATCTGCTTCTTTTCCCTCCAGCTTTCCCTAATGTTTTGATTTTCTATAATTTTCCTATACCTATTTGGTAGCCAACAAATTGGGATTCGCTTAATCTGATGACAGTTTTTGTATATTTCATGGGTTGGTCTGAAATACTGTTTCTTATTAACAAACATATTTCTTTGTAGTAGAAATGCCATAATTTTTTATTTAAAACTGTAAACAAGTCAAATTTGAAGCTAGATGAAAAACCCCAGTGGCTCCCCTTTTCCCTAACTTCCAGTCAGCCATTTTAAAACACACATGAATTTAAAAGGATGTGTGGGAAAATTAGGCAATTGCCAATGACACTTGCTCTGTGTAAATTTCTATCAAGACATCATCATTAAATATTTTACCTGCCCATAGTTTTCTCACCATTTTTTTAAAAACAAAAAATACAGTTTTGCAGCTGCTAAATAGTTTTTCACTGACCAGTTGTGTCAAAGATTGCTCTATCACTACAAACTTAAGATATGCATAATCTAGCTCATCACTGAGAGATCTCTGATAGAACACACAGATCCTATGCAAAACAAAAAGAGTTAAGGGGGGTGACAGTGAATGACAACTCAAAATATACTTCTAGAATTATGTTAAAAACAGTTAACTAAAGAGAAGACAAACTCTTCTTTTTCTTCACTTTAACTGGCTAAAAACTCTGGTGGAAAGTTCTGGAAGTTCATACACTTCTGGACATTAGTCTTGTTCTATAGCTTGAGTTGTGCATGCACATCAGTTTGATATATCTGACTCATTTGTTGCAGACTGTTTGGTTCCTCACCGTCACCTTTAGAAAAACACCCTTAATTTGTAGACTTTTACAACATGCTTGTTAGGGAGGCAGTGGGTCCTTCTGATGTTTTTTTCCATCTCACACCAGGGTCTTGGAACCCACAATGGAGATAGCAGGTAAACAAAGAGCTAAATCTGCATAAGTGCTGTCATCGAATCATGTAGTATAGGCTTTAAATATTATGTAATCAAATTTCTTCCTACCTTTTAGGCAGATCTCAATTTGGGTAGTCTCTCCAACGAAGTAACCAATAGGAAGTAATTCAGGAACCTCAGATTCCTTAGTCCTGGTTATTTCCCCTACTATGTAAGAATAAATGCTTTCTGCGCTGAGTCCGAGGTTTGTCACTGGATCCACCCGCAGCACATGCTCCTATTGTCAAAAAAGGAAACGTTATTGTTTCTAGTATCTGTAAAATATTGTCTACTTATCATGGTCAGGTGCCTTGCCGACTGGGGTGGGCCATCATGCCTCTTTATAATCTGCGATCTACTGCAGCATGTTTCAGTTCGTGTGCCGACACACCTCCATGCCATACAACAAGACTGTCAAGCATCTTCTCTCGTTGTCTTCCTCTATCCCTCCTTCCACAGATCTTTCCAGTAGTCACATGTTTTATTTTTCTTCTTCTCATAACATGGCGGAAAAATGATGACTGTCTCCTTCTGATGTCTGTGATAAGTTGTCTTCGGGCTCCCGCCTCTTTCAAAACCTCTTGGTTGCTGTCTACTTATATAGCAACAGAAACTAGTACCTTTATATCCACCTGCTTAGAAATATTGGGTACATAGTACTAAATTTTACTGACCAAATGAGGCAAAATGGGCGATGTGAACAATATCACAGTAGCAATAATCCACCTGCAGTCCTAGGTAAGGGATAGTTCCATTCAAGAAATAACAGAATGAAGGCTAGCTGCTGTGAATTTGTATATTTACTCATGTCTTTAGAAATACTGTGTGATGAGGCTCCCAGTCTCTTCCATGCTGAGAGACTACTGTACCACAGTCCAGGACTTTTTGTAAACTAAATGTGATGAAAATTGAACTGCCATATATTAGTCTTGATTTGTGTGTGTCTGTGTGTATGCATGCATGTGTGTGCATGTATGTATATATGGGTGTGGGGGGTGTGTGTGTGTGGTGTGTGTGCGTATCTCTCTCTCTCTCTCAAAGCTCTCTCATATCTCTCTCTCTCTCTCTCTCATATCTCTCTCTCTCTCTCTCTCTCTCTCTCCCTCTTTCTCTCTCTCTCTCTCTATCTCACAAATATATGCTTTGTATATGCCTTGTGTTACAATGTAACAGATGTTAGGTAGCCCAGCTAGGACATGCTCGGTTGCTTGGTTTGTTGCAATGTTGTAAAGTCTTAGGGCTACAGTGACTTTTTCAGTCCATCTTCACTAGGTCTCTCTTTTGGGGTTTTGTAAGCTATTGCTGCTGGCATCACTGGATTCATTCTTGCCAGGTGGCCAAACAATTTCCGACTTTGTTTCTCACTGAATTTAATGATGGGTTTTGTTCCAGTACTTTTTATAGTCTTTTTTTTTTTTTCAATCATACAGTCTCTTCTGGTTTTGTTTGTAGCTTTTCTTGAGCATCTACTTTAAATGATGGTTAGTTTTCTTTTCTGTTCTTATTGCTATATTATGATTAATGAAAATCATGCCCTAACTTCTAAGCCACAGGCAAACAAACAAGAAAAAAATCAACTTTTACTCACTTTAAAGGTTTTCCTGACAGCATGGTCTAGAATATCCCAGTTGGTTTTACCACTTATAGACATTGTTCCTATGAGAACTTCTGCAGGTTTCTGTTGAAATTTAACATGAAAACTAAAATTTTACAGACAAAATGCCAATCAATAATACACTAAAACAAATTCATAAGTTTAATCAATTTCATGATTTCAAAATTCTATATAAAGTTAAATAAAGAGAATTTGTCTTCCCTGAGTGTGTTCTAGGCTGCATTTTAAATGTGGACCAATGGACCCTCCCCCACCCTTCCCCCCAAACAAGCAGGGTCATAAAAGGTAACTAATTAGGAATGTCTCCTTTGAAATCAGAAGGTGAGGAACCAACAGTATCCATACTAATGAGCCAGATCTGTTAAATGGATTTGCACACACAACTCAAATTCTGGACCAAGATATGAATTCAGAAGTGAATAAATCACCATAACTTTCTGTGGGAATTAACAGGCTGTGAACACTAAGAAGAAAAGGAATAGTTTTCCACACTTCAAAACATATAAATTATGAATTAAAATTAAGAATCTTCTACTGTCGTAAGTTCTTCATTGATACTTGAGTCCTCATCAGCCATTTTAGTTTTTCCCTTAAAAAAAAAAAAAAAATGTGCTAAAAAAAACATCACAGTGCGTCTAAAAGAGATACCTGTACACATCACAAAGTGTCTAAAAGAGATGCTTGTACACATCACAAAGTATCTAAAAGAGATGCTTGTACACATCACACAGTGTCTAAAAGAGATGTTTGTACACATCACACAGTGTCTAAAGAAATTCTTGTACACATCACAAAGTGTCTAAAAGAGATGCTTGTACACATCACAAGTATCTAAAAGATATGTTTGTACACATCACACAGTGTCTAAAAGAGATGCTTGTACACATCACAAAGTGTCTAAAAGAGATGCTTGTACACATCACAAAGTGTCTAAAAGAGATGCTGTACTTACAACAAAGTTTCTCTAATAGCAGTGCTACAAATCTTGCCTACAATAAGATGGCAATATTCTGTATACCGTTGAGTATCTCCATAAAATAGAAAATAAACAACTCTGATCTTCAGCCAACTTCAAAGTGCCCAAACATCATTCAGGACAAAATTAATCAAGCATGATACTTACATCTAAACCTGGTCTTGTTGGACTAGGATTTGAACCTAGAACCACAGAAATAGTAACCCTTTTACCATCCCGGTCAATAGCAGCTGTTTCTGCAAGTAACATATCTGCCACAGAAGAAATTTAAAATTACATGTTAAGAACATTTGTCATTCTTAAAATCATCAGTGAAATGTTACCAGACATGCATGCGGTAGACTTAAACTTGTTTGTGTGCGTCTGTCTTGCCTTTTCAGAATTTTAATGTTTCACTGTGAAATATGAAGACACTGGAATAATGGCCCTTTGGCTCCCTGGCTGTGATGCAGATTTAGGCCTAGCTCTAATCATCCTTTGAAGCCCATTAAAGTTAGATGTGCTGAATTACGACCTCACCGGTTAAAGGGACAATCTAGTTTGAGGCGGGTGGTAGCTGATCAGTGACATTCTTCTTCTTCTTTTCTTCTTCTTCTTCTTCTTCTTCTTCTTCTTCTTCTTCTTTTTCTTCTTCTTCTTCATCTTCTTCGACTTCTTCTTTTTCTTCTTTTCCTTCTTCTTCTTCTTCTTCTTTTTCTCCTTCTTCTTCATCTTTTTCGACTTCTTCTTTTTCTTCTTTTCCTTCTTCTTCTTCTTCTTCTTTTTCTTCTTCTTCTTCTTCTTCTTCTTCATCTTTGACTTCTTCTTTTTCTTCTTCTTCTTCTTCTTCTTCTTCTTCTTCTTCTTCTTCTTCTTCTTCTTCTTCTTCTTCTTCTTCTTCTTCTTCTTCTTCTTCTTCTTCTTCTTCTTCTTCTTCTTCTTCTTCTTCTTCTTCTTTTTCTTCTTCTTCTTCTTCTTCTTCGAGTCTACCAGCTGTAAACTCTGGCAAAAAGTTCTTGATGTTTGTTCATTTCTGGACTTTGGCTATGTTCTAGTTTAGTGTGCCCATCAGTTGTACGGATCTGGCTTATATGTATGCAGGCTGTTGGTTCCTTGCCTTATACCTGTGAAGTCCAACTTTAAAGGAATCTACCCTAATTAGTCACCATGTATGATATGCTTGAAACAAAACAGAAACAAAAACAAATGTAGAAAGGAGTTTACTGTTTAAATATAATGTAAAAAAAAACACAAGTGACTCCTGCTGCTTAGAGGTTATAGAAACTGATATGTGTGTGGCTATAGCATTGTTTCTGATAGAAAAAGCACTGCAATAACACCCATCTGATATCTCTGTTTGGTTTTTATTAATTAAATAGCTGAGAAAGTCTTTTCACGTAAACAGAAACAAAAGTACCAACAATCTGATAGCTTCATAACTTAGAGACAGATAATTTTTGAGTGATATCCAACAAAATAATTATCACATTGCATATCAGGACACGAGAATTATATCAGAAGACAATGTGATCAGCTTTTAATTTTTTTGGGGGTCAAGGTGCAATGTCTTCTACTTTCAAGAAGATATTATTAACCCAAAGTTTGCATTTAAGAGGATTCTCATTTTTCAGAGACGTAACTATCACAATTTGAAACCCTTGAAGAGAAACCTACATATGCCACTCTGTTACACGATTTAGCAGGAATTTTCCCTTGCCCGCCTAGAAATTTCCATGGCCCTCCAGAAGAACACTGCACTAAACATCACAAAAATCAAACGTGATAATTACCATACCAGGATTCAAACCTGCTGTCTCCAAATGATGATGGTGTCTAGCTGTAAGATTTATTGATATGTGAAAGAACTTACCCAAACTGCTGTGGTCAGTCATGCTGAAGGACCTGTCTAAGGAGTCAGTGCTGCTTCTGGTGTGGTGAGGGGACATGGGAACATGGGACATATTCAAAGTTCTAGTTGAAGGGGATGTGGACATCAGTTTGTGCAGGCGGTCATTGTCAGCCTTCAAGGCACTCATTTCATTCTATTTAAAGAAACAACATCCAGATGGAATGGTCATTACTTGACAATTACAACAGGCTAAAGCAGTGGTCAGCAAACTCTTTAGTCTGAGCCAAAAATTAGCAGCAGGATGAATCACATTTTTTTAGAGCTAAATTTCTTTTTAAAAACTTCAAGAACCATGTTTTTTCAGAGTCAAAAAAAGATTTGTTTCCGACTGGGCCAAAGAGCTGTATGTGGCTTGTGAGCCGCAGTTTGCTGACCACTGGGCGAAGGCATAGAACATTTTAATCTAGAAACAATGCACAGAGGTATGCTGGACCAGTGGATAAGAATTTTGGGCTTTCATTCTTGACACCTATGTTTGAATCCTTGTGGTGGTGTGGTCACATGTCCTCATTGTGAGAACAATGACCTGTATCAGCTTGAACCAGTGGGATCTTAAGAGTTAGTGCCTCCAGAGATGCAGTGCCCAGAAATCTCACTCCTCAGCCCACTCCCTATGCATGGGTGATAACGTATGCTCAAAGCTCCTTTGGAACATGAGTGAAGTTCACTGACTGAGTGTTCTGTTAAGTGACAAACACAGGTTCAAATGCTGCCATCCAAAAGTCCTGCTATATAACAAACTTTGGGCCAAACAATCTATCAGTCAAGACTCCTACTGTATGCATGCTTAGGTTCAAATGTCCATTCAGTAAGTGCCCTATTGTGTGACAGCAAACCTTCAGATGTTCCTACTTTAGGACACAACAGCTTCAGATATGTGCTACAAATGGCCACACCCATCAGAGTGTAACAATCATACATGGACAATAGACCAGATGCATACTTCTCATAAATGCCACAATAAGTTCCCGTTTGGTATCTGTGTGAAAGGTGCCATTGTCAAAGAGTGGGCTTCAGTGTCTGCTCTTTTCAGGCCAACACATCTGATTACACCAAACTTCTAATCTGTTGACTTTTATGTCCTGCTTTTTTTTTTGGGGGGGGGGGGGGGGGGGGGGGGGGGGGGGGGAGGGACAGTGGGCTTATACATTTGTTTTCTCTCAAAAGAACCCACACAGAAAACATCAGTATATAGTGATCTAAAAAATAAATGAAATTTTTTTACTGAATTTTACAAATCACTATGTCTCTAGTTACACTGTACATATCACCACAGGAAAATCAAGATTAGTCTCATGATTGCTCTGGAAGTTTCAAACTGACAACATGCTCATTTTTTTTTTTTGAACAAACATGTGATTGTTACCTTTAATTGTCACAGCTTCTGACAGTTTCAGCAAGTGCCTATCTAATGTGTGGAAAATCATGATTTGGGATTGAAATATAGGACTAATTAGCTCTACTTTTGTGTTTGTTGTATAATTCATTGTCAAAGTGATACAATTTTAACGTAATATTCCAAGACATTATTGAATGGATGAATCCAGAATTGACATCTCTGAACTCAGGACATTCACCACTGTGCTCCATCTCCTTCTTCAGTAACCAGCTAAGAGCAGATGGGCTAACAGTACCTGCTGCAACCTGATTAAAAGTCTGTGTTTCTTCCCACAGGGTTGACAATTTCCAGACCCCTGCTCAGCCCTCAGTGAATTGATCAATCAATGTATGGATATGTGGTCTGTTCTTTGCACTATTCATTTGATCCCAGAGAGCATTAACCACTTCCACGTTATCATAACATAGCTCACCACCCAGAGGAGTGGCAGCAGCCAGTCTGTTATCTTGCTGATTACCTATCCAAGACATTACTCTAATAATAGAGCTTGCCCAACTTACTTTCATCATAGTCATAGTTTCTCTGAGTTGTTCAAGTTGGTGAGCAGAGCTGAGAGCCTCCAGTCGGATATCTGTCAGCTTCATGTCCTTGTCCCTCAAAGCTTGCTTTAAAGCATTGACATCATTGTCACAGAGTCTGAAAAATATGCAACATGTGTATGAAATTAGAGGAAGATCATTAGTTGACATCAGATCAGTGTTTCCTAAACTTGTTTGGCCCCGCCCCCCCCCCTCGCCCCCCCCCACCCTTCTCCCTCTTCTCAGTGAACAAAATCGCTCAGGGCCCCCATCTCCCTGGAAATATCATCATTTGTCACACCCAAAAACATAGTTGGTCATTATTCACAATCCTACACAATCAGCAGAATAATGGTAAGGTGATGCTCTTGTCCTGCCCGATGAATGTGGCAATGCTTTCCCTTAGTCCTCATTCTAGGGTGAAATAACATTAGGATGATTATGAAATAGGAGGAAAAATGAGAAGAATATGAGCAAATGAAATTAGAGGAAGATTAGTGTGTGAAATAACATTTAAAATAATATGAAATTAGAGTAAAATGAGTGTATGAAATGGTAGGAAGTTCAGTTTTTCAAATAAGTGTGTCGCTCAAATCTTGCTTCATGCCAGAGAATCTGAAACAAGAGGATGATGAGTGTGTGAAATTACAAATAGGAGTATTGACAAATGAAAGGTGAGTGTCTGAAAAAAGTGAAAGGAAAGATTATAAAAACCAACTCAATTAATCTGCAGCCAAAGGTATTCAATAATGCATTTATTATTTTTTTTTTTTTTTAATGATTCTGCATTTCTATCCCGTGACAAGGCATAATTCATTTGGATCTGGATGCATTTAATGTAGCAATGTTTAATCCATCACTGCTTACTACTGTATGCACAGAGCATTTGAAACATTCAATAGGTTTTCTTGTCTCTTGGACATGTAATAACTAATGATGACAGAACTGACACAGAAGTCATACAGAGAAAAGTAGTTGCAAATATACATTTGACATCTAGAGGGTTAAGCATTAGACAAAAATGAGAATAGTCAAATGATATATACATTCAGCCTTACTGAATGATACAAACATTTTGACAATGAATATGTATTTTTAAAAAGCATTAAACCTGTGAAGATAGGAATAAACAAAAGAATAGGTGGTTTTTCATAGAAAATAAAAACAACCAAAAACAAAGGGCCTAAAAAGCCTGGGAGTGAAAACAGAAAGAAACTAAACACATACACACACAAACAGACAAGTGATCTATTTTGGCAAATTTAAAGTATATCATTGTAATTAACACTATACTAATGTGCAAAGTTAGAAGCAAGTGAATAAGGGGTCAAAAGGGATATAAATGAAAGGATAGCATCAAGAGATGAACAAATATTAGTGAGTATATATCCAGAGTGAAAGACAAATAGTGTTAAGGTCCACAGAACAAATATTAGTGATTATATATCTAGGGTGAAAGACAAATAGTGTTGAGGTCCACAGCAGCAACCTTCATCATGGAGATGGCACCTGATTTACTTACTTAGCCTCTTGCAACTTCATCACATCTTCTTTACTAAAGGCTTTCATCAGGGCCTTTTGGTGTGATGGAGAATGGCTTTCATGGCTAACGCAGCTAATTTAAGGCATTGTGTTAACCCTTTAGCTCCACAAATATAACAATAAAAACTAAGTCATGAACCTGTGGCACTTTCTGGAAAAATCCTTAAAAAAACATAATGCATGCTTAAAAAAGTAATGGACACTTTTCATGCCTACAGGGCATACAGTGCTAGACCTTAATTTTATAGACCAATCGGTAATCTGTGGGTGCTGTGGTCAGCATCATGCCGACCACCTTTACTCCCCAGGGCTTTAACTGGTACTCAGTTAAGATTGGGTCAGCCTAGAAGTTAAGGTCTTATTTTAAAAAAAGTCTGGCTCTGTTTGGATTTGAATACATGACCTTTGGATCTGCAGGTCAGCCTTTAGCTGATACATCATGGCAGCTACCATAATACCTAACTCACTAATAGTTAAGTATACATAAATGTAATCAATAAATATGAACAGAGTGAAGAATTAAATGTAATACATTTCCTGGACCTAGAAATGCACTATACATATGGCAACTCATGCTGTGACCCCATGACCTTTATAACTGAGGCTTACAGGAAAATATATGACATCAGCTCTAAGTTTTTTGTTTGTTAAGGACAGGACACATCAGTAAAAGCTATATACTGGCACTTATGGGACTGTGTCACAATCAGAAGTGAGTATATTTAGTCTTCTTGGGGCAACAGGGTTAAGAGGGATATGGCTAGTAAAATAATACAAACAAAACTTACGCTCCTGAAGATTGTGAAACTTTCATAGATGGACCTCCCATGTGACCCAGCTGTAGAAGTGGAGAGTTTGGTGCAGAGACATTTGACCTTAAGGTGTAGAAGTCTGGTTCTGCTTCTGAAAGTGAGCTCGATTTTGACTTTTTCCGTGAGAAGGCTTTACTGAAGGAACTCTTCAACTGTTAAAAGAGAATTGATTGATAAATATTGTGGCCACATAAGCAGCAGCAGCAGCAGTAGTAGAAGTCCTACTCCTGCTCATATCTTTAGGGTCTCTACTTCTTCTTCTTCTGCCTTTCTAGCTCCCAGTGGAGCGTAGGCCCTCAACCAACTCATGCCAAGTCGTTCTATCCTTTGCCATTACATGGAGCTCTTCCCATGTCCTCCCCATCTTTCTAACTTCATTCTCCAGCTCTCTTCTCCATGTGTTTTTTGGCCTTCCTTTATTCCTACTCCCCTGTGGGTTCCAATGCAAAGACATTCTAGTTACGCTGTTCTCCTGTTTTCTCAGTTTAGTTCTCTCCCAAAGCTCTAAATTAGTTATTCCATCATACCGTTTAATTCTCTCTATTTTGCTCAGGCACCAGTTAATGAATGTCTGTAATTTATTAGTTGTTCTCCATGTTTTTGCCCTATACCAAAGTACAGATATGACATTAGAGTTTAACATTTTTAGTTTAGTATTTCTTTTAAATTTTTTGACCTGCATAAATTCCCTAGTGTTATGAAAGCTCCTTTTGCCTTTTGTATTCTTATTTTAATATCTCTAGGGACATATTTATAACTCCTGAGTTAGTAAAATTATAAACTGGATAGAGAAAATCTACATCCAGTGCAGTAAACTAGTCTTCCTATTTTTAAATTGTATTTATGCAGTTAAAATTGTTAAAATGTTATTGATAATTGCCACTACACTATGGCACCATATATGGCACATTCTTAACTGAAATGGATAAAGAATCACCAAACAGGCACTGAAATGAGAAATGAAATGTCAGAGAAAGTGACAGCATCTAACAGAAATATATGATAAACATTTGAAAGTAGGTCAAAGGTGATGAGCTGAACTAATACTTGATGTCAAAAAATAAAAAAATCTGCACAGGACAAAACAAAATGGAGGCATCAGCTGCGAGCTGAATATGATGTTTACATAGCAAAACAGGATGATGATGATGATATCGCACTGAAACCTTGACAGTAAACTAATAATTAGAAGGTGAAAATTAGTGCAGAGAAAAATATACAGAAGACTATGTTGCATTTCATTGGGGGGGGGGGGGGGGGGGGGGGGGGGTTACAAATTACACTACATTTGAAAAGTACGATAATAACAAGTGAGTGGGTTTGAGAAATTTAAAAAAAGGGAAATTATAATATTGGTAGATGAATAGCAGTATATAAAAGTTTATTTCCAAGAAGAAACACATAGAGTGTTAAAAATCCATTTCTGTCAACCTTCATTATGATACGGTATCTAATTAATTGATAAATTGAATTACTTACTTGGTCTGATAAAATGGAATACTTTAATTTCTTTAGACAGAGAAATATTGAGAATAAGCACATGAATGAGACATGAGACTTCACAGAGCAATGATGTGCAATAGACAAATCTTAATGTCTCTTTGCTCTCTTACTCACACCTGCCTTGCCTGCATGTGGTGGAGCCTGTTCTCCTCAGTAATCTAATGGAAGTTTAAAGTCCCATTACCAAGTAGAAAATTAGATGGGACAAAAAGGGGAAAATTCGATTTCGTCAGCCAGCTACTCAGCTGTGTGCATGGTGTGACACTAAGCTGTGACTTTCATGAAGAATTCTTACTGTCTGTGCTCCTAGAGATGTATGTTGCAAACTGCATGCTCAGAAAATGAGGAGCTGGCTGCCACATAGTTGATGGTGTGCCTTATGCAGTAATGCATGTTCACGAAGCTGGTTTGACATGACTGCTGTTTCCATCAATTGTGAATAGCAATTCTAGTGACAGACTGTAAAAGCTTGAATCTTTTTACAGCTGCCTCATAGATTTTATGCATCAGCAAGCTGTTGGATTTTGCTGTGACTGCTGTCTACTTGATATCAGCATGGGATGGCAATGGACATTCTGTGTGGTTTTAACTGAGCTAAAACTTTACAGTTATGAGGTAACTAATTTGCTGTGAAATTTGCATGCCAAATGATTGATTGATAACATGACTTAATTTACAGATAGCCCTCATATGAACACTGGAAGGAAAAAGAAAATGGGAAAAACCAATCTGTGGTGATTCTACATACAATCCTTATTAGGGAAGGCTCAACTATTGGTCTAACCAACATCCAAGACTTAACGCAGGTGGCAACGAACTAACAGGCATAGAGAATTATGACCTCTGCCCTTTGCAGAACCCTAGGCTCAACAGGAAAGACTAACTATTTCTATTTTTACTAGACATGTTATCAGTTTCAAACGTGGACCCTGACTACAACTAATTCATTAACAATTATAGCAACAGAGACGATATACTTTGGAAAAGCTCTTGGAATAATATGGATAGATAAGTTAAAAATTACTAAATTTAAAGTGGACTCAGTTTTAAAACAGCCAAATGATTTTTTTCAAGAACAAAAGAAAATGGACTGGCTCTCTAACTGCCACAGATAGCTTACATAGAAGAAATGTAATGAAAAAAAGAGGGAGATGACTGACTGACTTTCTACCCCACCAGGACATCACACAAGCGATAAACACCCGATGACACAATGTGCCACCATGTGGGTGAGGATCACAGAAACCGCGTTCAACCTTCAGGCCATATGTATGGCCAGGCTATGTTGCGGCCCCTGGCAAAAGCCAGAGTAGGGCTTCAAATAACAAAAAAACTTCATCCTAAATAGGACAAGAAGATGATGCGTATAAGAGGGAGATAAATACAAAGGAAAAGATGCAGCAACTGCATCAAGAACAACCTTTGAGAAATTAATACGTACATACAAAAAGCATTAGAAGGGACACACAGAAGATCTTTATATGCTCTTCCCCCAACTCATTGCTCTGTGAAGTCTCATGTCTCATTCATGTGCTTATTCTCAATATTTCTCTGTCTAAAGAAATTAAAGTATTCCATTTTATCAGACCAAGTAAGTAATTCAATTTATCAATTAATTAGATACTGTATCATAATGAAGGTTGACAGAAATGGATCTTTAACACTATGTGTTTCTTCTTGGCTATAAACTGAGGTAACTGAAAAAAGAAGATCTATTACTGACCCATCCCTTCTTTTTGGCTTGTTTAGCTGCCTTTTTGGTGGCTTCACTGTCGGTGGGGCCTGAATGCTGACTGGTCAAACTGCATGCACTGGACAAACTGTTGATGCTGGACACACTGTCAGAGGAAATTTGCCTAGCAAAGTGTGCATCCAGTGCTGGTGAAACAAGAACAATGTTAATACAGCTACATGTATATCTGTGGTGAAGTGGGTAAAATGGTTGCTTCATGTTTTTTAGCGTTCTGGATTAAAACAGGGATTGTTTTCTAACTTACCTGTGCTTTTATTTTGAAGAGGCCTAGACTTTTTTTGCTGGAGAATTTTGCAATGTGTGTAATTTATTTCATTGGCTCTGTTGAGAACAACTGAGTCTGTGTAAAATCCTGTACTTTTCTTACTTTGGTTTACAGATCTGTAAACCTCTTGATGTGTGTGGTTTAGTATCAGATTTAACTGTTATTAGGAAAGTATGTGATGTTTCCTAAATGGAGCATAGCTGATGTAGATATGTATATCCACACTAATGTTTTTGGTTATATTTTCACTGGGCACATTCATAAAATGGAAGATGAAAGGAAAATAATCCACACTTCTAGGTTGAAAAAAAAACCTTCTCAAATAATAATTCTTCCTCACCTTTTTCTTCTTCTCCTTCTCCTTCTTCTTCTTCTTCTTCAGCATTCTGAGCTCTTAGGGTTAACTGCTGCAGATATCACCAGGCTCTTTTCATCTCTGTGATTGACTCTCTCTTTCCAGTTCATGACTTCAAGTGTTTGTAGGTGTGCCTGGATATTATCTTTCTACTTAATTCTTGTTTAGCCTCGCGTCCTACAGCCATTTAACTCCTTTGTCTAGACGCTTTTGCATCGCTGTCTTCTGCCTTTCTCGTTGTATTCCCATTCACTTCAATCTATTAGTCCTCATGATGTCATTAAACAATTTCTGCTAAAATTCTTTATGGAGAAGGCACATGACATATTGTCCCTGCCCATCATCTGCATCTCTTATTAATCCCTTATCAGAAAATGCTTCTATCATTCTCCATTTCTCTGCCTCCATAAGCAGTAATTATCCCAGAGTCCTTTTTAGACTTATTTATAGTTGTTTACTTTTACTGCTGTTTTTTTTTTTTTTTTTTTTAATAGTATTACTATTAGGGCTGTACCGAATATTCATTTTCACTATTCGGCCAAATACGAATAGCGGGACCAACCATTCGGCCGAATACGAATAGTGTATAGTGTATAAAATATATCCTTAAAAAACATTTATAATGTCAAATGTACGTTGAACTTTTACTTCACACAAAGTAGCACAGAATCACAGAATAGTCATCTTCTTCTTTAGCATTCTGAGCCCTTGAGGTTTACTGTTGCAGGTATCACTCGTCTCCATTCATCTCTCTGGCTGGCCTTCTCTTCACAATTTGTGACACCAGTTGTTTACAGATCTGGCTGGACATTATCTCTCGAACTTCTGTTTTTTTTTTTTGTCTGCCTTGTGGTCTACGCCCATTCCTCTCTCAGGTGTATACAGTTTTTACTTCTCTGTCATCTGACATTCTTTCAATATGCCCCAACCATTTTAGTCTGTTAGCTCCCATGATGCCAGTGATCAATGGTGATTTAAACAGATTATATGTTACGTTGTTGCTTCTCACTCTCCATTCCCGTTGTTAGCATCTTTGATGGGTCCAAAGATTTGTCATAAGACTGTTTTAGAAAACCAGTAATAAAGCCTCATCTCTTTTACTTCTGCTTCATGTTTCAGAGCCATATAAAACGACTAGTCTTATCAATGTTTTATATATTTTGATCTTAGCATCTTAGCAGATGTTGAAGAGCATAGTATACTTTATTTCTAGATTATATTCTAGATTGTATTTCTCCTCTCAGCATGTTGGAGCAGGTGAAGTTTGCATCCAAGT